CTTTCTAAGTTCCTTTGGCTGTAAAGGTCATGGTGGGAGAATTTTACTTTCAGATTTACAAGATTCTGTAAAAGTAGCTTTACAATAATGAGGGAATAGCTTATCTCAGTGGTGGTAAACCTATGGCACATGTGCCAGAGGTGGCATGCAGAGCCCTCTCTGTGGGCACACCTGCCATCGCCAGCTGCTATTCGCAGGCGCCGGAGCACCAGAAAACGGCATGAAAACAGCCCAAAAAAACAGCAAAAAAAATCAGGCCATTTTTTCAGGCCATTTTTCATTTGTTTTGGGGCCAAAACAGCCCAAAAAACAGCCTGAAAGTGGCTCAAAAACTGCCTTGGAAAATCGCCTGAAAATGGCCCAAAAGATGCCCAAAACTGCCCCCCAAAAAGGGAAGCACATCGGCCAGCTGGTCTTTGGGTTTCCGGTGCTCCAGCATGCACATGCGCCTACATTTACGCACATACATGTGCATTCCAGTTTGGGCCCTCGATGCCAAAAAGGTTCACTATCACTGGCTTATCTGATCGTGTATCCTGTCTGGTTTGCCTGCGAAGGCTGGCACAAATTCAGCAGTATTCCCCTTAAGGATAATTGTTGTACAGGCTTCCCTTAAGGTATTTGCTGAGAACTGTTGGTCCTGTCTCATAAAGAGTGGTGCTGCGGGGTCAAGTGAGGATCTCTACCAGCATAACAAGGACGTCAAGTTGACTGGCTAACAAAGGCAGTGTCGCTATCAAGCGCAGTGCTCAAAATCCCAGCTGAGATACCTGCAACCCAACGCCCTGGGATCCTCTCTAGAGATTCCAATTTTCTATCTGCCAAGTCAGCCACTCCGCTCCCGCCAATGTGTGTGGAATCACACAGCAGGCAAGGCAAGAGAATCAATTAGCAGCATAGCCTCGCTTTTCTCTAGCATGAGTCGGGGCAGCTAATGTTCTGCAGCCATTGCAAGCAGCCAACAGTTTCTGAGCTCCCACCGATACGGCTTCTTCTGCAAAGGGTATTTTCGTTTAAAAGCAATTGTAGCAGGGAGCTGCTGAAGATGGAGCTGCTGAAGATGGAGCTGTTGAAGATGGAGAGAACACGTCTACCATAATTAACTCAGAGAATTCCATTATTAATCACAGAGGCCGCAGTTCCTAGAGCAGAGCAGGATATGGATAGCAGCGAGTCACAAATAAGATTCAGGCAAAAAGCCTTGATGCTTTCTTTCTTTCTTTCTTTCTTTCTTTCTTTCTTTCTTTCTTTCTTTCTTTCTTATTTCTTTCTTTCTTAATGGAAGAAATGAGATGTACTTGTCAACAACATGATTTTTTAGCCAGGCGGGTGAAGATGGATGGGTTAGCATTTTAAGAGAAAGGTTGGTTTGGAATAAGCTGCTAGACAGAGATTCAAGACAGAAGAGCAATCAGAATGGGAGGGCAACGATAAAAACCAGGAGGCCAGACTGGAAAAGCAAGGTAGAATATAAGATCAGGCGATATAGAAAGAACATTCTTCCTTTCGTCTTTCAGTTTTTATAGCAAAGCAAAAGCAGGATTTGTGCAGCGTAGTTACCCACGGCTAATTAATTATCGTACATTAGGCAATTAACCCATTTTCTCTGGGTTCGCATGACATATGAACCCAAGGGGCTGCACTCCAAAACGCAGTGGTGAAGCCCAGATAAAAATATAAGTTTTAAGTTCATCACATTTGCACTGAATTTAATTTAATTTAAATGTATATTTAATATGATAATCCTCCAATTATGTTTCTAATCAAAATCCCCTTTCTATCATGTTCCAATTTTCAGTTTGAGAAAAATATTTGAAGGTCTCTGCGGGTTGCACCAATCTTTAAATGTCCACATACAGAATTTGGACCTTCAATTCTACAACTCTTGTTCAAAATACAGTAGCACATGCAGTATCTTTGAACAGATAAGACAGGTAATCCTCTACTTATGACGACAATCTGGACCAGAATTTCCATTCTTAAACTGAGTTATGCCGGATTTTTACATCCTTTTTGCCACAGTTGTTAAGCAAAGGATTAAAGTCCATTTATACAATACAGGTACAACAGTTCACTTATTGTCTATTTGAACTTACAATGGAACTGAAAAAAAGTGACTTATGACCATTTTTCACCCTTATGGACGTGGGATTTACATTCAGATGCTTGATAACTGACTCACACTTATTGCAATGACCCGGGGTCATGTGAACATATTTTGCAACTTTCTGACAAGAAAAAGCCAATGGGGAAACCAAATTCACTTAACAACCAAGTTGCTAATTTAACAACAACAGTGATTCCCTTAACACATGTTGCAAAAAAGTCATAAAACTCACTTCACCTAAATTTTGGGCTCTGTTGTGGTTGTACATTGAGAACTGTAGTACCACCTTTACTCTTGAATTTCAAACATGTAAGGGATCATGTACAAAACCAATGGAAGGAATGCTGCAATAATGTTCAGAGTTTTTCTAAAGCTCCCCTCTTTTCTGCCCTTTCAACCAGAGGCAGCACTAACTTTAAACATCTCCCACTTTTCAAGATGACTACTCGCTCCCAGGCATGAATTACAAACCATGTATCAGGCCTGCAGCCATCTTTTCTTTTGGATCTTTGGCCTGCCACACTTTTGAATATTCTACTGTGCATTTTCTATTGTGGGAAAATGGGGGGGGGGGGAATTGTACGGAATGAGATGCTATGTAGCCATAACAACATTCTTTCCATAAAGCCAAGGTCATCCTTTGTCTTTGCACCTCTGCACCTGACCGGAACTGGATGGGTGGAACTGGCAGCATGGCAGTGGGAGATTGAACCATGTGATGGATTTGTGGATGTGGGGGCAAGATCTTGAACTTTCAAATGGGTGGGGAAAAACCGGGAAGCTTTCAGATTTGGGTTTTCCCAGATGTGCCAACATGGCTCTCTTCATCAATTGGAACTTTGAGGAATGCTTTGCCTTGGACAAGCATTTTGGATGCTATTTGGAACCCTGACACCATGGATATCCTCAACAGCTAAGCCACATTGTCCCTGGCCTTTATCAATTCAACTGCTGCCAACAACTGACTGTTCTTTTGCTCAGCTGCCGATGCAATGATCATTCGTCATCCTAACACAATCCCTGTGGGTGAGCAACACCGTAAATCTGGATCACAAGAGCTGGCTTTTTTTGGAAAAAGGCATTTCATCAGAATGCATTTGCACTCTCAAGTTGGTCGTTAGTGCTCATCTAATTGCAAGCACAGTAAACACCTCCACCTGTGGAAGTCAGCCAAGTACTTAACGAACTTGTCATAACATCCTAACTAGGTAGAGTAGAAAGTACAGGTAGTCTTCAATTTACAACCATTCTTTACTGACTGAAGTACAACAGCAGTGGGGGGTGACTTATAATCAAGGGTGGGTTCCTGCCAGTCCTAACCTCTTCTATAGAAGAGGTTCCACAAATCTACAGTGCCATTTGGAACCAGTTCCAGCTCCCTCCCCCCGCCCGTCCCCACATCATCAAGATGAAGAAAGAGAAGAGGAATTCTGGGAGTTGAAGTCCACAAGTCTTAAAGCTGTCAAGTTTGAACACCCCTGGGGGTTTTTTCTAAAGGGTTAGGGGTGCAAGGGTCTTGTAACTTGACAGCTTTAAGACTTGCCCACTTCAATGCCAGAGTTCCTGAACCAACATGACTGGAGGAGAGTTTCTGAACCAACATTTTGGTTGCTAAGCAAGAGTGTTGTTAAGTGAGTTTCACCACATTTTACAAGTTGGCCACGCCCACCCAGTCACATCGCTGGCAAGCCACTCCCACCCAGTCACATGGCTGGCAAGCCACTCCCACAAAGCAGGCCACACCTACAGAAGAGGTTCTAAAAAAATTTGAAACCCACCACTGCTTATGATCATTTTTCACACTTACAACCATTCATCATCATCTGCCTTTAATGACCCCATAATCCCTTGTGGTGTGGAATCTGGGCAACTGAACGAATCTAAGTGTTTACTGGCTGGATGCCCTTTCTGTCATCAATGTGGAGTTTTATTCAGCAATCTCATTGTGCCCAGAAAGAGAAATATCCGCCTCTACCTAGGATCAAACTCTCAGTCTCCTGATTGCAAGGTGAGAGTTTTACATCTAGGCCACCACACCACTCTATACTTGCAACCATTGCAGTGATCAAAATCTGGATGCTTGGCAACTGGCATGCATTTATGACGGTTGCAGTTTCCCAGGGTCTCAAGTGATCATCTTTCGCAACCTTCTGACAAGGAAAGTCAAGGGGGAAGCCAAATTCACTTAACAACCCTGTTACCAACTTAACAACTGCAATGATTCAGTCATGACTAGGCTACCTGTACTTACACTGGTGTCTTGAAAACCTCTGCCCCATGTCATGTCTAAACTACTTTGAATCACAGCTCTTGCAAAACTCAATTGTTGATGGTCAAGTGATGAGGAAATAGAGCATTAAGATTCTCCACCTCTATGCATGCTCTATTTCCAGAATATTCTTGCACAGACAAATCCCTTCTTTGTTGTTGTTTGTCTGTTTGGAGAGGGGCTGCCTTTGAGTGAATCCATACTGGTAGAGTGTTTATTTTACTTTGTCGATGTTTTGTTTTTTAAGTTCCATTAAAAACTCATTCATGGTTTTTTCCTCTGCTATTTAGAGATTTTTCCCCGTCTCTTTCATATGTGTAATTGTTAATTTACGTCTCACTGAACAAACCACATTCTGTCATACAAATATTTCTAATTATTGTTAAGTTTCCCCAACGTGCAGTTCATTTATGAATATTTTTTTCCTGGATAAAAGGACCTCTTTTAGGTCCTGTTCGTTTAGGTGTAGAACTTCTAGAAATATACACTCTTTTTTTTTCCACAGGCAGCTTTTACCTTTTAAAAAAAGGCAGATCATTGTCCAGTAAAAGATAGACACGAACATATTCCATGGAGTGCCACTGTCCATGCTTTCGCTGAGTTTGTTTTGGCAGATTTTTAAAACAAGTTCTCAGAGATAGCCATGGCAATGTTATTTCTTCTTTAGTTCAACCTGTGATTCTTTGATTTTAGAGTCAGATTAAAAGCATGGTAAGCAATATTAGATATACACCAGCGCAAATAAATAAATAAGACTGGATATTATATCTCAGCCTTCATGTTGTTATCCCTGCAAGCAGGTAAAAACTGCCCTGTGGCCAAAGCATCACCGTTGTGCTCTCAATGGTTTTCTTGATACACAAAGTAATGAAGACTCTTACCTGCACACTTTGTCCTACTGATGAGTGGAGGTCCAGGTTTGCCAGTCCCACCATCTCCTGGCCGGGTCAGCAGGACGCTGATTTCATACTCTGTGTCCGGATCAAGATGCCATAATTTATAGGTCTGCATGTTCACAGCGTGTACTTCAGACCAAGGTCCAGAAGTCATCCGGTACTCAATCTCTTTTCTTACGATAGGACCATCTCCGATGATTGAGTTGGTATTGAGCTGGATGATTAAGTATGTTGAGCCTGCTCTCAAAAGCTGTGGGGGTGCGATGGGTGTTGGGGGCTCTGTTAAGAGGAAAAAGAAGTAGTAAGTTGACCTGTTCTTCTGGACACTTTCAAACAGCTCTCCTGAGGTGGATGGGCTCATTCATTCATTCATTCATTTTCCAAAAGTTGCTTTTTCAAGAGGAAACTGGACTGAAGAACTGAAGAAGCTTCTTGGATGAGAAGCGAAACGTTTTCAAAGAAAAACCAGAAAGTCCAGTTGCCTCTTGAAAAAGCACCTTTGGGTCAACTGTGACCTGGATGACTGAGAATCTCCATATTCATTCATTCATTCATTCATTCATTCATTCATTCAATTTCTATGGCCACCCATCTCAATAATGATTCTGGGTGGCTTGCAATTTTTAAAAAAATTACAATGAAAAATATTAGAACCTTTTTAAAACAATAAAAACAGTAAAACCAATAAAAACATCCAAATTCAATATACACGGGAGCAAGACACCTGACCAGTTAGCAATACAGGTAATCCTCAACTTACAACAGTTCATTTAGTGACCATTCAAAGTTACAACGGCACTGAAAAAGTGATTTATGACCATTTTTCACACTTAAGACTGTTGCAGCATCCTCCATGGCCACATGATCAAAATTCAGATTCTTGGCAACTGGTTCATGTTATGACAGTCGCAATGACTTGGGGTCATGTGATCCCCTTTTGTGACCTTCTGACAAGCAATGGGGAGGCCAGATCCACTTAACAACTCTGTTACTAACTCAACAACTGCAGTGGTTCACTTAACAACCCTGGCAAGGAACATTGTAAAATGGAGGAAAAACTCATTTAACAAATGTTTCACTTAGCAACGTACATTTTGGGTTCAATTGTGGTCATAAGTCAAGGACTACCCATATAGACAGGAAACGGGACCCTTGACACATTCAGTGCCCAAGGCTTTGGAACATAGCCAGGTTTTTAGAGTTTATAGGTTTATAGATAGCGGAGAACTTCATTGGGGTGATGGAAGAACAAGAAAGAGTAGTGCTGCATTCAGACAACCTGATGAATCAAGTTCCTGAATTAACCAAGTTTCTAACTTTATTAACCTCTGTGTATTCCTCAAATGCAGGTACTGGAACTTCAGGAGCCTAGTTAAGTGTTTTGCATGTGCTCATCCTCAGATTTCCCCTATCTCTTCAGTCATTCATTCAATGTTGTTTTATTTGTAAGTTTAACGTTACCAGAAGATTATGTTTACTCTTAGAGCTTTCATTTCATGATTGCTGTTTTGTACTAAAAGCCACCTTCAACACACTTAATGTCTAAAGGCAGCTTGCAATTTCTGAAGGACGCAAACACTTAATTGAATCAAGCTGATATCAGCCAATTTGTATACTACAGGTAGGCACCCTGTAGCCCTTGGGCTAATTTGATGTTGCTTTAATTTCAAAAACACTTCTGCAAGTTCGGTTTAGTTCTTTTATGAAAACTGTCTGCCCTTATTGCTGGGTGATGTTTAGGAGAGAAGAAGGAGAATGTCAGTAAGAGTGAAAAGCAAATCATATGAGAGAGGAGGGGAGGGAGGAGAGAGAGAGGGAGGGAGGGAGGTAAGGAAGGAAGGAAAGAGGGAGACAGACAGACAGACAAACAGACAGACAGAGATAAATAAGTGATAGTTAGGTTATAGAGATGAGAGAGAGAGAGAGGGAGGGAGGGAGGTAAGGAAGGAAGGAAAGAGGGAGACAGACAGACAGACAAACAGACAGACAGAGATAATCCTGTAATTTTCTCTTTTTAAATTTAAATTGGGCACTCCCTTTTTTTTAAACTCAAATTGCACCTTCCACATGGCTTCCAATGGGTTCATGTAACGAGAACATGGCCTGCAGAACAAATAGGATTCTCCAGCCATGCGTACATGACAAGTCTTGCTCCATCACCTCAATACAGGAAGTACCGTTCCATGATGAGTATCCTCAAAAGCTGGGCTGCCTTCCCATATTAGCTCATTCCAAGTCAAACAGATGTAGAACAGAGGCCTTCTCCCTCTCCCCTCTCCCAGAAGAGTTCACTATCACAGGCAGATGGCACATTTCTGTGCTGCTGAAGCTTCTTTATAAATAAGTAACATGAAACAACATCCGCCCACAGCAATGAACAAAAGATATGCAAGGAAAGCATTATCCTTCTCTCTCTCTCTCTCTCTCTCTCTCTCTCTCTCTCTCTCTCTCCCTCCCTCCCTCTCTCACTCTCTCTCTCTCTCTTTCTCTCTCTCTTTCTCTCTCTGTGTGTGTGTGCCTTTATCTCTATTCCCCAACCCACAAAACATTGTTGTTGTTACTTGTGAAGTCATGTCTGACTCATCGTGACCCCATGGACAACGTTCCTCCAAGCCTTCCTGTCCTCTACCATCCCTCAGTGTCCATTTAAGCTCATGGCAACTGCTTTGGTGGCTCAGCCACCTCATTCTCTGCCGTCCCTTTCTTCTTTTGCCCTCCATCGTTCCCAGCATGAGGCTCTTCTCCAGTGAGTCCTTCCTTCTCATTAGGTGGCCAAAGTCTTTGAGTTTCCTCTTCAGGATCTGGCCTTCTAAAGAGCAGTCCAGATTGATCTCTTCTAGGCCTGACCGGTTGGATCCTCTGCAGTCCAAGGGACTCACAGGAGTCTTCTCCAGCACAATAGTCCAAAGGCCTCCATTCTTTGGCACTCAGACTTTCTTATGGTCCAACCTTCACAGCCATACATT